GTTTGACTGTAAAAGAAGGGCCAAAGCCGCCTCCACCTTCTGAGGAGGCTGCGGCCTCTGCTCAGGACCTTTTATGACTCTGTGATAGCATCTGCCATACACTATGCTGCTGTGTGCTGGGCCCCAGGCAGCACAGAGCGGGACAGAAGCAGACTGAACAAGCTGGTCAGGGCAGCTCCACTCTGGGCTGCCCCCTGGACTCTGTGGAGGATGTCAGGGACAGGCGGGTGCTAGTCAAAATCACCTCCATCATGAACAACACCTCCCACTGCACTGAACTGTAGAGGAACTGAGGAGCTCCTTCAGTGGAAGACTGAGGCACTCTCAGTACCAGAAGGAGCGCTATGGGGGCCTTTATCCCCACCGCCGTCAGACTGTACAATGAGTCACTTTAAGGCTGTGGTCACATGCGCAGCCTGAAGCCCGGTTTAAATGGGCCAGGGCCCACCCCGTGATTAGATCCGGGCTTTAGGTGCAATGTGACCGCAGCATGTGGGCTTGAACGCGATTGCTGCAATCGCGGTCAGGCTCGTTTGAAACCTTGGGCCAGGGCCCGCTTTGTAAAGCCCAGATGAGTGAGACGACAAATGCCAAAAAAACAATTGTAAAACGCTTTGTGACTCTGGTCTGTGAAAAGCGCTATATAGTAGGGCTTTGACTTTTGCACAAAAATTTGATTCAAAGTTTGTTTGTTTATTAATTTAAATATTCGAATATAAGGAAGTAAGTAAGTAATTTTTATTTATATACCGTCTTTCACAGACCAGAGTCACAAAGCGGTTTACAATATGTCACTACTTCTGTCTGTGCAGGGAAGCTATCGGAGTTAGCCACGCTCAATACCACAAATATCAATCAATCAATACATCTAAATGTTAATGGGAGAATAAATTATGCATATACATTCTTAACAAACGTTCACGGAGGTTTTCAGAATTATCTGTAAAAGTTTTCATGACAAAATGTGACCAAAAACCTGGAAGTAACTATTAACATGAAACGAACATTTTAGGACACATTTGAAGAGGATCTGATTATGGATTTAGGTCCGGTATATAAATGGGTAACTCACCGCTGATGTTCAGAATTCTTTAAGTTTTCATGTAGTTCCAGAAAGTTCTAGTTAGTTAGCTAGCGTAGCTGTTACTAGCCTAGCCTCGTCACGGTGCAACCTTTGGGAACGAATAATTTTAAAAAGATAATGCCCATTACAGCTTTGAATATTAAGGGCTGTCTAATATTCGTTCAAATATATATATATATATATATAAATATATATATATATATATAAAAATATATATATATATATATATATATAAATATATATATATATATATATATATATATATAATATATATATATATATATATATATAAATATATATATATATATATATATATATATATATATATATATATATATATATATATATATATATATATATATATATATATATATATATATATATATATATATATATATATATATATATATATATATATATATATATATATATATATATATATATATATATATATATATATATATATATATAATATATATATATATATATATATATATATATATATATATATATATATATATATATATATATATATATATATATATATATATATATATTATATATATATATATATATATATATATATTATATATATATATATATATATATATATATTATATATATATATATATATATGGCACTCATCATGGCTGCACAGGAACAGGCACTGAGCACCAGAGCGATAGAGGCCCAGATATACCACACCAGACAAGACCCAAGGTGTCGGTTGTGCAAAGAGGCACCTGAGACGATCCAACACATAACTGCAGGGTGCAAGATGCTGGCAGGGAAGGCCTACATGGAACGCCATAACCAAGTGGCTGGCATAGTGTACAGAAACATCTGTGGAGAGTATGGGCTGGAAACCCCAAGGTCTAAGTGGGAAACTCCTCCAAAGGTGGTGGAGAATGAGCGTGCGAAGATCCTGTGGGACTTCCAGATACAGACCGACCGAATGGTAATGGCAAACCAACCTGACATCGTGGTGGTGGACAAAGGGCAGAGGACAGCCGTGGTGGTGGACGTGGCAATTCCAAGCGATGGTAACATCCGGAAAAAAGAACATGAAAAGCTTGAGAAATACCAAGGTCTCAGAGAGGAGCTGGAGAGGGCCTGGAGGGTAAAGGTGACAGTAGTGCCCGTGGTGATCGGTGCACTCGGGGCAGTGACCCCGAAGCTAGAGGAGTGGTTACAGCGGATCCCCGGAACAACCTCGGACATCTCGGTCCAGAAATGTGCAGTGCTAGGAACAGCAAAGATACTGCGCAGAACCCTCAAGCTCCCTGGCCTCTGGTAGAGGACCCGAGCTTAGAGAGGGATAACCGCCCGCGGAGGGCCAAAGGTGAGTGGACAATTTATAGAGCTGCAACTAACGATTATTTTGTAATCGATTAATCTATCGATTATTTTTACGATTAATCGAGTAATCGCTTGGCTGTGAATTGTGTAGAAAAAAAAAATGTTTTCATCACAAAAAGCTAAAGTGGCAACACTCGAGGACGTATTGATAGCGTAAACTTAAAGTAAATGTTTGTAACAGGCTCTTTGTGCTAATTCTGCTATCTGATTGGATGAGACAGACAGATATTCATGAAATTATAAAAACAAAGTCGGTTTTAATCAAAAATACTAAATTTTCATGTCATTTTGGCTCTGTTTGAGTCCGTGTGAACCAGAAAACGATTAATCGATTACTAAAATAGTTGTCGACTATTTCAATAATCGATTAGTCGTCGATTAATCGATTAGTTGTTTCAGCCCTATATATATATATATATATATATATATATATATAGGGGCGACAGTGGCTCAGTTGGTAGAGCATTGGCCTTTGAGCCTGAAGGTCGTGGGTTCAAGCCCACCGTAAGACCTACTTCACGACTCCCACTGATGACTGCTGTCGTTGTGTCCTTAGGCAAGACACTTAACCCCACTTTGCCTGAAGCTCCCACTGAAAAATCTCAGCTCCTATGGACTCACCACCTGCAGGAGGATCAGTGAGGGGCTGGTGCTCTGTGGACTGGGTGGCATCTCTGGCCACCCCCCCAACCCAGAAATGGATTAAGGGGAAGAAAATGGATGGATGGATATATATATATATATATTTGAATTTCAAACTTTGAAGTCAAAGGCCTACTATATAGTAGCTATAAGTAAAGATGACTTCAATGAAACGGTTGTACAGTAAAGCTGCCCTCACATTTCTTACTGATACAGACCACGGCATCTGTTCAAAATGCCACATAAGGAATGTAATTAGTTGTAACGGCCACAAGTTTGTCACTCAAAGTGTTGAGGGACATTTTTCAAACTTTTCTAACTGAAAATGATGTAATTGCATATCCTCTTTACTCAGCCCTTTTGTCATCTCCCAACTTCTCGCTCTAACTTGATTATTTTTGCAGTCCCATCCATTCCTCAGCACTCAGAACATTTTAAAATTCTGCAGTGCCTACTCCTTTCTCTAAATCGCATGGCATTGCTGAAGTGTGCTCAAATTGATTGTGTAACCAACTCAAACATGTCACACCATATGAAACGCATTGGCAAACTAACATTGACAATTGTGTCCATTTAGTATGCATGAAAAATCCACATCAGCTCTACACAGCGCGGGAGCCTGCACCTCTCCTAAAGTGGCCTTCGAGTGCATATTACTTGCTTAGCCTATTTTACAAGATTTCCTACGTGCTCTCTGAATACAACTCATAAAAATCCAATATAACTTTTGAATTGCATTTTGTTCTATTGCCGTGGCTGTCAGCCGAGAGATTGTAATATCCATCTCTTGTAATGATGTGACTGTTCAACACTATTCTTTGATGGCCGGCCGGCGGTGGAGCCTCAGTCATTTTCACAAATTGTTGCGTATACCTGTCTCGCAATTCTGCTTTATCGGCGTAATTGTACATTTGTTTACAGCTATAATTCAAAAAGCGAGTAGATGTAATAACATTTTCCATCAATGAGCAGACAGTCGGCATAACAATAAAGCACAATTGCTTTTACTCTTGTTTTAAATAATAGTTTAATAGTTCAATAGATGTGAATAAATGCAGAGGTACCTGCTGTTTTCTTTTCATTTCATAAATTTGATTTGTCTCCAGAAAGTGCTTTGTAAACAGTTTGTGGAAAAAAATTTTTTTGGGGAGACAGTAGCTCAGGTGGTAGCCTTTGGGGCCATGTGAGCCACTATTTGCCTATGAGCCAAGAGAACTAGACACTGGCCCAAACACAGTCTGACCCTACACCTCTTTTCCATTACTCTGTGCTCATAGCATCTCCCTATTTCTTGTTTTTTTTCTGTACTTTAGTGCAGATTAGAATGCAGATCTCATTTGTTTTCAATATTTTCTTGACGTATTGTCTATAGCGCCTGCGTGAAGTGTTTGCTCCGACTACTCAGTCCCCTATGGCTCTTTGATGTGGAGTCATACAGATGTTTGACAGATGTCTGGAATGGATGCAGCCACTTCTCTCCTCATCATTCTCATTCAACAAATCACCTTTTTAATGTTATACTATTTTGAATAGCCGTATATGGAGGAAAAGGCAATGAATAACAAGTTTTACCGGCCAATCTAAGCCTTTTAAGTATGGCTGCAATTAGGGATGTAAATCGGTGACCATTTAACCGGTGGTTGACTGGCACAATGTTAACCGGTCAAAGCTGTCGGTTAAAAAAAAAAGAAAAGGGGGAGAGGGGAGGTCTCTTAATAACGCAATTTTAAGCCCTATTCGCACGGTGTGACGAGCGGGTCGGTCTCTAGCTGTGTGCGCCAATGTATTAAACTCCAGGGTAGATTAAAAAAAAGCAGTTCTCTGTGCACAAAGGAGCTGAAAGCTGTTGCAGGTATCGCTTCGCTATCTTGGCTCTGATCCAATAGAACGCATAGCTGCACTTATGAAAAGTGGCTCGAAAATTCATAGTTTTTTACATCCCTAGCTACAATGATCAATCGCAGTAATTGTAATTTGAGCAAAATAGACGTTTTCGCTGTTAACCTTTGAGACACTTAGTTTTTTTCAGACATTTGATGGAAAACAGACACAATGTGGAGCAATAGAGAACTTCCTAAATCAAACCAGTAATACATGGCAAATGTGTAAGAAACGTGTAGCAAATTATTTGTGTAGGTCGCTGTATAGAGTGCACCATTTCTGCTCCTTTGGCACTAATTTTATAACACATTTTATTGCTAATTAAGATAAATTGCGACGCCACCTGCATGTAAAAGCCAGAGTTTGTCAGACCTAAAGCTAAGCAGGGCAGGGCCTGGTTAGTACTGTGATAGGAGACCTTCGTGAACACCAGGTGCCACAATTGGGTCCTCAAGACACCGTTTCTAGTGAATGCTTAATGACATGTGAAGTGTCTTTCAGTGTCCAAAAAAGCTACTATGGTTATTATAAAATAATTCAAGTCGATATAATCACTACTCATTGATACAATACTTTAACTTTCTTTGGTGTTGAGGAGACAGTTTTGAGTTTGTTTTACATCCAGTACAATCCTCTACTTTTGACGCCTAAGACAAGTAAATGTCTTCCCCTTTCACCTGCTCCACACGCCGCTCTTCAAACACTCTGACGTTCTCCCCTGTTTCCCAGTGGTGTTCATGGGCAGCGAGAAGTACCCGTCTGAAAACGGCTTCGATGCCTTCCTGAAGAAGCACGGCGGGAGCGACAACGCCTCCACTGACTGCGAGCGGACGGTGTTCCAGTTCGACGTCCAGCGGAGAAGCTTCAAAGAGGCGCTGGACAGGTGAGCCCTTCCCGGGACTTCCACCCAAAGACCAAGGAGCTTTGACAAAGGCTCTGACTTTTGAGCAGTGAAGGTTCTTGAGCTGCTATGAAATCCCATTTGATCAGTTATGTTGTTGTAGAAGTATATAAAGAGATCACATTTGGGGATTTGTGTTGTCACAAGTTGGCAACTGTTTTAGTAACCAATTAATCGTATTGGTTTTACTCTACATAAAATTAATGCTAAGAGGTTTTATTAATGTATTATTAATTCAATCAGTAACAGGTCATCTATATGCAGATGTTCTCCAGATGTGTCACTGGTGGTAAGTTTTGTTAAAATGTATAACAAATCCCATATTCACTGAAACAAAAACATTCACTCAAAAAAAACAAATTTCGATTATATAAAAAAATCCTTATCCCAAATGGTTCTTTATCTTGTGTCAGAGCTCATGCTGCAGTTAACAATTATTTATCATGATTGATTAGTTAGATTTTTAGAATACATTTGACTAAAACAAGGTGTGATAGACTAGATGGTGGTTTTGGTCCAGGTATGGTTCAAAAACAGATAATCACGTACTAATTTAATTGATTCGATTATCATTATCTTACGATTAATCAATGAACTTGTCTCTGCCCTAGTTAGAGGGTTTTCATGTAGATGTTACCCTTATGGCACTCTCAAATAGGACAGTAACTAACAATTATTTGTCATATTCACAAATATGACATTGTCTATAGAGTTGTACACAACAACAACAAAGTGTTGAAAATTAGTAGTAGTCTTTTTTTAGAATTAATTGTGCAATACATTAAAAAAAAAGAGGAATATACTGTGTGTATATATATAATATATACAATTCGAAAAGGAGTAGGTAGAAGTGAAACTTATGTTTCCTACCCCTTAATATATGCTTTTTCTTTTTACAGGAGTTCAAATGTTATACAGGCGTATATCTCTTAGATTTAATTGACACTCGTCACCATAAATAGTACGTTTAAAGGCTGATTAAACACCAATGATGTTCTTAGATCTTGCTCTCAATACCATTTTTACTTAAACATGTTTCTTTAATGTTAACATTGTTATGTATGTAGGCCCTACATAGTGCAGTGCATTAAAAACAGTGGGTAGAATAGTTGCTATTGTTATAGCAAGACCATGCTAAATTTAGCATGGTCTTGCTATAACACTAAAGGCACTGCTGGTCTGTCTACTGTTTTATTAAATAAATACATTTGAGAACATTCTACAGGTGTCTATCAGGTGTCTCCAACGCAAAGATAATGAAATATCAGGCTACTATTTATTATTATTAATATATATTTTTAAATCCTTTGGTGAGCTACCTGGAAGGGGGCGGCGAGCTACTGGTGGCTCCTGAACTACAGGTTGGAGACCCCTGTTCTACATTATATAGTTTTATTATATTTCTAGACAAAACTTCAGGTACAGGGCCTTTTTAATTTGTTATAATCCATAGGAAGAACCAACAGTAACTTCTGTTCACAAAGTAACTTTTTGTTTTATAAATGCAGTTTTCTTTTGTGTGAAATAAGGGGGAGAAACAGCAAGTGTAGACCAATATTGTCCATTACACAAGGTGGCTTATACCGATATGCGGTCGTGGCGTAAACAGATTTAATACAGTGAAGTAGAAAATGTGTTTTGATGCAGCTACATACGTTTGAATGTGCGTCAAATAAGCTCTTTTTTTCTTCTTTTTTTTACCATCAGGGACATCTACGTACAAGACATTGCTTCCGCTGTAGGGAGCATGTGGACTATAATGACTTACTGTGAGCCGGTGTCCCTGCTGTATCACACGTAGCACTCTTTAATAAAAAGGGATTAGTATGGATGGAAAAAACCAAATAAGATCTTAGCGACACCAGGACAAGATGTGTACTAAAGTTAATATCACTGTATTATAGTGTTTTATATTAATGAACAGTTTTGCTGCTGTACTGCACTTCCTACTTCATACTGTCCTTAAAGGTGCCATAATCCGCTTTTCTTAATTTATCACTGTATTCACCACTTTGAGAACCACTGGGTTAAACGACTGTGAAGTCTGAACCAGGGTTTTTGGCTGATTGACATGCCCCACGATAACACCCAAGAAAACACAATAATTATACAGACTTTATACTGACGGGGATCGAACGTTTTTTTCCAATACTTTTGTTTTACGGCCGCTCCCCGCCCTGTGAGACCTGCTACTGTAGACCACAATGTTGACTTGGTGACTTCCTATGCTGCACACGGCGTGAATCACCATACATGCTCTCCTCAGGTGGGCTCAATTCTTCATCTGCCCTCTAATGATCCGGGACGCCATCGATCGCGAAGTGGAGGCCGTGGACAGCGGTGAGTGAGTCTCTAAATGCCATCCCTACAGCCACATATCGTATCCACAGTGTGTGTTGTGTCCATGCACCTGAATGTTAATAATAGTCCTTCTCACCTCCTCTCCCGGCTGCCAGAGTACCAGCTGGCCAAGCCCTCCGACTCCCACCGAAAGGAAATGCTGTTCGGAAGCCTCGCCAAAGCGGACCACCCCATGGGGAAGTTCTGCTGGGGTGAGTTGGTCAAACACAATATGGATTAAAACGTCATAGCATCCATGTAACTAGTTCCTCGCTCTCAAAACAGTTAGTTCTACCAATAGTTTTTAAGGCATTTTTGGCCTCGGTCACATATTTAGATCAGCTTTTTCAGTGCAAAAGAGATTTCCAACCCTTATTCAGCCAATCAGCCGTCTTTATATAAAAGATACATTTTCTAATTAGATAAAGACGCCCTGTTGTGGTCTGATTTGCTCACAAAACGTTACTCAAACAAGACTTTTTGTTGGAACATGTATTGTAAATTATTTCCAAAAGTCACTCCAGCCTTAAGAGTATAGATTTTTACAGATAAACTACAGTTACAGTTCTCAGAAAATAGAAAGTAAAAGGGAAAAAGTAAATAAACTAGACAATGGCAACATATTTTCTAACCGTTTTAATTATCTTTTTCATAGAATGAAATTTGTCTATATATGGTCTTTTTCATCTTTACTAGTGACGGCTAAAGTTAGAACTGCCTAATTTGAGTCATATTGGATGCGCATATGACACTGCTGGTGCAAATTCTGATGGTTTCTTTTTTTTAATGGACTTTTTCCTCTGTTACTGCTGTGGTGAAACCGATAATTCACAGTTGGAAAAGTAACCAGAAACACACCACATCAAAACTGGAGCTCTACAGGACCAAAGTACCTACCTTTTCTTTATCCAATTCATTTTTATTGATTTATTTTCTCCATCCTGTAATAGGCAATGCTCAGACTTTGAAGCTGGAGCCGAAGAAGCAGAAGATAAACGTGTACAAGCGGCTGCGGGCGTTCTGGAAGCAGCACTACTCTGCCAGCTACATGACCCTCGCCGTTCAGTCCAAAGGTGAGGCGCTCTAAAGGCCAGTCACGCGTCAGGTCACATTTCCACGCTGCCCCCTCACTCTAATCACCACCCAAGGCCTTTTAATAGGGAACGTATAGGAGCGCTGTCACTTTAGAATCATCTGTTAGCTACAGTTCTAATGAGGGCTTCTGTCGAGGGCTTCTGTGAGGAATTTGCATCTCCTCTATAGCTGGCTCTAGATTCTACCCGTCAACTTGAGAAACATAATTACAAAATCGCGTAATGTCAGCTCAATAAGGTTAAAGCGTTGTTTTCAAAGCCATCCACGATAATCTATGACATCACACTCGGCAGCAGCGTCCCTTTTAAAACAATAGTATTACCCCTAAACTAGCTTCATCAATCTCACAGGTGAAATTATGCTCTGCACCTCCCCCTGGTGACAGAATAGGGGGTTACAGACAGAAAGCATTTTTTACCCTTGACACACATTCTTCAATTTTCTACATAATATTTCAGATTCTAAAACATGAAATGAAAAACGTAAAAAAAAATCATTATCTTTTGTTTGATGACTAAAAATAATGCATACTTCTTCTTTAAATGGTAATGAATGAATGGTAATGATAATAACCCAAAAAAGACATTCATTTAACATTCTTTTTTCTTCTGACTGTAAAATTCCACAATATAAGATAATACATTTCTAATAAGATTTGAATTATAATAGTCATAGTTAAGTTGTATTTTTTTCAGTGCTGCTCAAAGTGAATAAACATGGTAAGGAAAGGCAATTTTTTTGGTGTAGCACAAATCATACACAAGACAACTCAAGTGCTGAAAAGAACAAGATAGAAACAAGGCATTAAAATCATTAGTAATCACAGCACATTACATGCTATAATATTTATTAAAAAGTGAAAACGTAAATTGTTGAATTCACTTCATCTTCATTCCACTCTTTTTTGCAGCCTTATTGACCACAGGAGTAAGAACATTATTTTCAGTCCAATCCAAAACATTTTTTTCTTTTTCCGCAGTCCTAATTCCAACATCAAATGCCAGTAGTGCTTTCCTCCTCCTCCACACTTCAGCTTTCATCATGATTTTTTTATTGGTGATGGTCAACGAAAAACATAGTCCACTAGTTTGAGCCTAAAAAGTCAAATCTTCATGCGGTGAAATGCTTGCGGTAATGAGGAATCCTACGGTAAACTGAACGACTCCCTCTGCCGCCCTGGGGACCGTGGTAACAGGAGGACATTTTGGCTTGTCACGGATCTAACCCGCACACGTTAGCAAACGGCCAATTTGGTGGGAGACATTTTGGGCAGCTCTTGACGACCCACTCAGAATCTAATTTGTGCCTTTTCACTTGTGGCGCTCTTTAGAGAAACTGGACACGCTGGAGGAGTGGGTGAGAGAGATCTTCAGCAAGGTGCCCAACAAGTGAGTAGCACATGGGGACTTGTTGTTATTATTAGTCCCCGAAAAGTTGTTTTTATTTTTTTCATTTTTTTACATAAATGTCAAGATTTCCACAGAGTCTTCTGCTGATGTTCTGAGTGGGGCTGACTTAAAACTGGGGAAGCTAACTTTATTTGCTGCATAAATGAATAATCCAATTTAGGTAAGACCAGGACGTGCTGTTTGGATTTCAAGATTAAGAGATGTTTTAGTCAACCCGCAGTGGGGACATGTCAGTGTTGCATCACCAAAAATGCGCTATGTAAAAAAAGATGACTAAAACTAAATTACAGTTACAGAACAGTAGGAACGAGGAGCATGCAGCACATTATAAGATGGATGAACACAGCTCTATGCTCTATACTAAACTGACTCTACTAAAAAATACTTATTCATATAATTACATCTCTAACTATAGCATAATAAGGAAGCAAGAATTAAGTACAACATTTCTGACTTTAGCATGGTAAAGAAGTATAAAATGTCTACCTTTGGCATCATAAAGAAGCCAGTTAAAAATGCTGTATATTCTAGTAGTGCATGAAATATTAGAGAACACAGGAATGGGTTTCACTGTTTCACGCTTTGGGCTGAAAGCTGATTGGCTGAGTGAGCATAGTTCTCTTCTTCACTTTTCGGGTTGAAAAAGATGATCTACAGATGTGACTGGACAACAATAGATGCACGTGAAAACCAGTGATGAACTAAACATTTGAGGGTGGGGAACTAGTTATGAGTTACAATGCATAGTATAATATTTGGTTGGTTAAAAATTAGGTATCCCAGCTTTAATGTAAGGTAAAACACAATATTTGATGAGTCTTTTTGCAAGTCCTGGTAAGAAGATAAGTATGTAACAAACTTTTTGACTTAACACCAATTCAAATATTAGCATTTTTCACTTAGTTGTGCATCAAAACCTACATGAGAGATGTGGAAGAGGCACATTCATGACATAATGATGTAATGTGCTACTTATTAAAGCTCATGTTTCATGAACAAGTTCAGCGAGAGTTCACCTAACCTGCTTTCTGATTACATAAGGCTGGCTTTTTGATCGTGGAGCCTTCCCCTAGCATGATTAATATGGTCCCCTCTGATTCTAAATCTCTCTGGGACTTTCTGTCACTTAACGCCAAGGCCCCAACAAGACAAATTAGAACATTTGACGTCTTTGTCTTCTTTAATGAGTGTTTATGATTTTGCTGGTTTGTCCCTTCGCACTTGTGTCCTGGGTTCGATTCCACCTCCAGACAAGTCCTTTCTCTCTGGGGTTTGCATGTTCTCCCTTTGTCTGCGTAGGCTTCTTCCTGGTGCTCCGGTTTCCCCTACCACTAAAATAATGCAGAATAGGTCCAGCATATGCCCCTAGCATGGTGAACCTGCTCCCTTCTCTAGAATTGTTGTGGGCATTTGTCTCTCACTTCACACAAAGTGCTTTCTGACTCTTGTCTGTGAAAGGCGCCATATAAATAAAGATGAGTTACTTATGTTTCGACACAGCCCAGCTCGGATGAGGGAGGTAACAAAAAAGACTAAGATCTTAAATGGAAAAAGAAGTAATTTCATACTGAAATGTTTGCAAAAACCAAATGGGCTAAATACAAACAAAAAGTTACAAAACAAAAGAAGTCAGGACAAGAGATGGCAGATTATAGCTATTGTACCTGTTTTTAGCAGTAGAGGAAACTGGAGCACCTGAAGGAAAACCTACACAGACACGGGGAGAACATGCAAAATTCACTCTTAGGCCCTGTCCACACGAAGTCAAGCTCAGGCCTAAATGCAAAAATAATTTATCAATCCAGTGTATCGTCCATACGAGGCCGCCGTTTTGGGGGGGTGTAAACGAACATTTTTGAAACTAGGTCCCAGAGTGGAAAGATTTCAAAACTCCGTATATGCCGCTCCGTGGTTACTGCCTCTCCGCAATGTATCTGAGACGCTTGCGTCATCGCCCCGCCTCTTGTTAAAGCACGCATGCGCCGCACTCAGAAAATAATGACAACAACAATGTAGCTTGTTGGTTTTGTAATCCAGTGTGACCCGAAGCAACAGTTCAACCTCATCGTCCGTCCATACTAATGTAGTACCAGCTCGCCCACTCGCCATGTTGTCTGTTTACAAAATTCTGCGCATGCCCAGTTCCCGTCACGGAAGTTTGGGCTTGATCCCGTCATTGCGTCACAGCGCCACCAACAGGTCTGGCATAGTTTCACAGCGTTTTCAGGCGTATTGACTACATTCATATGGACGCACACATTTACTGAGCTAACTCCGTGTTTACAGAAAACGTTTCTGAAATTATAAGCGTTTTGTCTTCGTGTGGATATAGTCTTAAAGGCCCTGGGATTTGAACACAGAAGTGGGAAGCACAGATATGTCTCACATTTTCTCCTCATATTTGGGCAACAGCAGGATATGGACCAGATACTTTCTAAATTAACTTCCCTGAAAAATAGATTCTGAAATCTTAGTGGGACTTTCCTGGTTAAATACAGGTGAGTCCTGGCCACAGAGAGAGGGGGCAGCAGTGGGGTCTGGGAGGTTGTTATGGAGGACTATTGTACATGTTTTTTAGTGGTAGGACGAACTGGAACACCAAGAGAACATGCAAACTCCACACAGAAAGCCCTGGAGGTGGAATCGAACCCTCCTTACAACCGCCAACCACTGCACCACCGTGCCGCTCAATTTGCACTCTGGATTCCCTAATTTATACTATAGGATATCCAGCGTGCGCTCATGCTCTGTCAGAGAGAGAAGGTGCAGCTGGTCCCCCCTGACACGCATGTTAATGAAGAATATCACCTCCAGTTTGAAACGCTTTCCTTTCAATTCAAAGCTTTAATGCCTCCTTATGGCTGGGTGCAGTTTGTCTGAGCATTCAAATCTCCCCAAAAACCCTTCAGCACTTTTTGGATTAACTCAATTAATTTGCATCAAGCTGCGGTGCAATAAAGTAAACATTTAGTTGGATCTGACAGCGTGCTATTTAAGTCGTAATTAAACATTCACCCATAATCTTTCTTTTCCTAATGTTTTTTAATCCTCGCAGATGTTAGACAAAGCCCTAGTGAATGGAATTATCTGCTATTCAGTGTCATATTAGCTCCAAACCACTGCTAATTTCATCTAGTCTGGTGTAACTAAATCCAGCCGGTATATTGCACAACTACAAGAGATTCTGATCGTAACGTCCGTATTGTGATTTTAAATGGAATGGGACAAAATAGAGCATGGACTCTTGATTAACAACATTATCAAAGAGAATGTTCAAGTAATGCTAAGTTTTGAAGTCTCATATTTACTTTAATGCAAAACAGTATATATAAGAAATTACAAGAGATTAACTCTGTTGAAGAGTTTATTATTTGACTGAAGTGAAAATCTTTTTTTTTTTTTCATTTCATTTTCAACCCCTTTGTCCATTTCTGGGTCGGGGGGGGTGGCAATGAGAGCTGCCACCCAATGCTCATAGCACCAGTCCCTCGCTGATCCTCTGCAGGGGGTGAGTCCACAGGAAGATGGCTGCTCCGTCAATTGTGAAACAGCCTTGATCTTTCAGCGGGGGGCTTCAGGCAATGTGGGGTTAAGTGTCTTGCCCAAGGACACAACGATAGCAGTCATCAGTGGAAACAGTTGGAGTAGGTCCCATGGTGGGAATCGAACTCACGACCTCCAGGCCCAAAGGCCAATGCTCTACCAACTGAGCTACTGTCGCTGTACTGTAAGTGAAAATCTGTTAAAATATATATATATATATATGTATACTGTATATATAAAAGCCTGGCCCAGTACTTTATTGTGAAAAAGACCTGTCATAAAAATATTTGGTATCATCAGAAGAGTAGCCACCACCATTAAAAGTTGTCAGTTAATAAACCACACCGACTGAAATATTCAAACGTAAATCCCCAACTGTCACCATATAACATCTTATTTGGTTAAAAATACAAATCTAAATCTAAAAAAAAGAATAAGGGGGGGAAAAAAGTAACTTGTTTGGATTCAGTCTGTCCCAAAGTGAAGGGAGATGCTATAGAGTGGGCAAGCAGAGTGGGACTTATTAGTTAGATTATCTTTAGCAGTAACAAGCTACATGTATATGCTAACTGCAACATAGGTATGGCAGGTGTGTGACAGTGGGGGATGATGAGGGTCCTGGGGATTGAGGAAGGGGGCAGTGTTCGTTGAGTCTGACAGCAGGCTGTAGAGGTTGTTGTCCATTACATTTCAGTGCAATCGCGACTTGAAAACCATGTTGCATATCATTATACTGGCTCTACCAACCAACCATTTTTTTTCACTCAAAGTCTTGTAGTTGTTATTTTCTTAAACCGTCAATCAGCATTGCAAAGACCATTGAAGAATTTTTTTTTCCATTTTGTTGTCACACAAAGTTGCTTGGTGGATATGAATCCTTTTTACTAGGGATTCCGTCCCGTCATTAAAAGCCATCACTTGTGTAGGAAAGTAACTCATTGCCGTCACTTGAATAGATTTGGCTTGCTTTACTTGTTCTTGTCAGCTCTTTTAATCTTTGCCTCTTTTTTCCTTGTAGCAAACTTCCAAAGCCCGACTTCTCCAATTTGCTGGATCCCTTCGACACACCCGCCTTTAACAAGCTCTACCGAGGTACACCTTATTCTGCACTGTTCTTGCTTTTTTGCTGAACTAGTTAACTTGGCTTTTGTTATATTTAATAGCAATTTGACGCTGCTAGAAAAAGAATATGAAAAACGCCTGGCTCTCAAAATTCGCGCTCTCATGAGTTCACATTTTCTCATTGTCTCCATCGCAGTCGTTCCAGTCCGAAAAGTTCACGCTCTGAACATCACCTGGGCTCTGCCTCCACAGGAGAAGCACTACCGGTAAGTCAGAGTACAATGCATAAATATACTGTAGTACATGTATATTTTATAGACCTGCCCAAGGACACACAAATAAGCCCACGCTGTCTGGAGCCGCTTCCTTTGTCGGGAGTTTCACGGGCCGCTGTACAAAATCCATAGGGGACGATTCCACTGCTGCTAACCACTAACAATATAGCAGCATCTTTATTTGACGATTTTGCTGCAGAAGAGCTGTGTCACTCTTGGAAAAGTGATTCAAATGTTGAGAGTGTGAAGTATGTGTAGCTCAGTACAGTGTCACATTAATGCTGTTTGTCTCATTGGTGTAAAGAGATGCATACTGTCATTTTATTAGTAAATATGATTTCTCTCGCCTTTTTGAGAGAGCTGATTGGCTGAGTGAGGGTGAGGTAGACCTCTCTTTTTTTACTTTTATTTCCCCCCAAAAAAGCCGATCTAAAATAGACGCATGTGAAGACGAGTGACAGAACCAAACTAATTTATTGAGAGTGCCGAAACATCGCACTCCCAATAAATTCTTTTTATTTTGCAAGTAAGACGGTGCGCAGGATTCTATAGTTGCCAGTAGATGGATTTTATTTCATTGTTAAATTTTTTGTGCGTTGAAGGTTGGGTACACCAGCTTTAGTTGTTTTACCAGTAGCTTTCCTGGTGTGGACGTGTTAGAAAATATAAAAATATCCTTATGAACAAATCATGCATTATGTACTTTTTACTATAGGCCACTTTGAATATCTTTTTTGTTGCTGGTGTGCCGTGAGCCAACGCTGAATCAATTTATCGGTAGAAAATAATGACGTAAATACTGTAGAATAAATAATAAAGAATGAATTGTATATAACTGCTTTACAGAACAAGTCGGTTTACAATACTGCTGCTTTTACTGTAAGTCAATGTTGGTGCTTGTCAAAGTTGCAATGACTTTCACTCAACAATGGCTATTTTCTTTCTCTTATACTGCTATTGGTGCAGAGTTGTAGAACTGCCAACTTGGAATAAAATATTTTATTAGTTCAATAAGTAAATTTCACTTGCGTTGCGGTAAAGTTTGTGAATCCAGTAAAGTCAGACATCTAAACTCACAAAGAAAAAACTAGACGTGTAAATGTTTTGCCTGCAAATAATGTACATTTAAATAATTGAGATCTAGCCCTATATCTTTGGCAGCCTATTATAATTGACTCCCTTTATTATTGTAGAATGCTGTATACTATTCTATTCTTTCAGAGTGAAGCCTCTCCATTACATCTCGTGGCTGATTGGACACGAAGGCACCGGCAGCATCCTCTCCGTGCTGCGTAAGAAGTAAGATCCCAACCTCGCCTTGCATTTGATTTAGCTTTCAAGAGCGCCTTTTTACGCCCCAATTAAAATCCGTCAGCCTGATGAGCGGCACAGCGCTTCGGAACGCCCGCCGTCGGCCCTGAGCGGTTTAAAGCCCACCTACTCGACTGTGTGAATCATGCACACTCGTCTCACATATGTCGCTGAAGGAGAGGTGCACCCGGCTTTGGCTAAGAGGCAAAGAAAATAGCTATCAAAACGCATCGGCGTCAACGGCGTGGGCCCAGTACTACCGGAGCGCGCCTCAGCTGGAGCAAACCGCTGAGTCAGAGGAGGCTGCTTTTAACGAAAATCACAAGGTCACATCTCAAGGCCAGTGTTACTGTTAATTAGCACAGCACAGACCTGAGAAACTAACAAGGAGGTGGGAAGAAAAGTGCACTGCTCACAATATAGTGGTTTTTCTCCCTGACTGCATAGATAATGAGTCTGTTTTTTAGCACTTGACTGTACACAGTTTAGACTTACAATACAATACAATACGCTTTTAATTAGAAAATGTTTGCCTGGTTAGCGCACATTCAAATCCTGAGGCCCGATTGGGATTTGTCTCGCTGGCCTGACCGCAGAGGTTGTTCTTGGTCCTATTCAACCGTGATAGTGCACAGATCAAAACAACGAAGTCACGTATGTATGAGAATAAAAAAGGAACTTCTATATGAGGTTGATGAGAGGAGAGAAGACCCACAGACAGCTGCAGACTGAGTTGACCACTGTATGATTACTAATTAAGCCTTAAGATTAAGAATATGTCCCTTTTTAAACCCTGTTAAATTTAATGTGAAATAATTATTAGTTACCTAATGTAACTGTAGATCTACGAATGGGTGCGCTACGCTTTGGGTAGACTCCAGAGGCACCTAGCCACCGCCAGAGAGATCCTTAGATCGAATGCTCCAATCACGAGCGAATGTGAAATAATCTGCCTTTAATCTTAAAGTAATAATCTGTAGTGTTTTGCTTTATAGTCCACAGACGGGTAATTTATCGTACCGTTCTTTGTTTGGGCATCCTCCAGTTCATCTCATACGGAAGTCACATTTCTGCGCCTCGGCTCCCTCAGATCCCTGCTGTGGTCGCCGTGTTTTACATCCATAAAACCGCAGAATAAACCCTGATTTTTATTTTTTCTTACTTGCGCTTACTTCCCCTCCTCGGGCATAGGCTGTAGACAAGAGATCTCCAAGTGTCTCAATCTTGGGCTCTCTGCTCCAGCTGTCTCCATGTGTATCCCATACTCAGGTCTCGGCGCCACTCTGCTATAGTGCCGCGATATCCCCAGGCCCCCAAAGTACACTTGTGTCAATGGCCTGTGCTCAGTGAGTCTGTATGTATAGATATGTATAGATTATTCACATAATCTGACCTCCTGTGAAAGCTGTAGGTGGCCAGTTTGAGCTTTTTAAGTTATATTTAAAATGTTATGTTGCCCATGAGAATTTAGGCTGCAGTAATACGGGTGGCCTTTGAGCTCGTACTGGAGAAGGGCTCAAGAATACTCAGTCCAGTTACTATGATACATAAAAGAGTGAACCGTGGGTCTTTACTTATACTCTGCACAGCACCCCTGCAGGAGAGAGGCGACACCTTTCTCCACACTCTTGATTCGATTTAAGAAAAGTGCATCATGAATGTGAACCACGGCGGCTCTGAGAAGGAAACAATGTTGCAACTTTGATACCACACCGGAGCCAGTGTGATCTGCTTTATATTGTGAATGCGTCCTCAGTCACTTGAGATAGTAGCAGCCACTCTGTGTATAAGAATATTATTTCCAATAGACTTTCTTCAGGACTGATTTCCTCCACACTGTCTGACAGATGTCAACAATGTGTTAAGCCTAAACATTGTCCGTGTCAACAGTGCCTATCGAAACAAGAGCCATCGCCAACTGCTTTGCCATCTGCCGTCTTATTGTAGCGAGGTTATTTGGGTTTTCAAATCGTTTAAAATGGGGCTACAAAACACCATGTACATGTGCTTGATTTAGCCATTAAGGCCACTGTTCCATCAGGTTGGTTGACATCGTCGCAATTTATAGCAATACTGACAAAATTCAGGCCAATTCCTGTGATGCTGTTTGGCTGATCATACCCACTTTCCTATTCTAATTTATTTCAACGGTAGTTTTTTTTTTTTTTTTTTTTTTTAAGTTTAGCAACAGCATGTGTGTGTTGGTCCCTCCAGGTGCTGGGCTCTGGCTCTCTTCGGAGGAAACAGTGAGACCGGCTTTGACCAGAACACCACCTACTCCATCTTCTCCATCTCCATCACACTCACCAACGAAGGCTTCCAGAACTTCTACCTGGTAACTACTGGAATTAGGCCAGACTTGCCAATATATTGTGTAATACAAGTTCTTTTCTGTAATGTCCGGGTGTCTGTACCAGGCAAAAGTGACACATAAGTTTTTCATTGCCAATGCAGCAGCGTCCTCCTTTTTGTTAGACCCTCACAAGGGGTTTACTTACACTCTGCACAGTACCACTGCAGGAGAGAGGCGACACATTTCTCCACACTCTTGGTTCGATTGACAAAAGTGTATCATGAATGCAAACAACACCTGCTCTGAGAATGATACAATGTTGCAACTTTGAGGACAGTGCAACAAAAGTGGTGATGATCCATGACACTCAACAACATTTATGGACATTGGTCATCTGCCCCTTATGGACCAAAGGCTCTGTGTTTTTATCATTTAATTTCTTGTGTTTGAACTGTTTTATTCTCTGATCTGTGTTGGCGAATTCCAGTTTTGTTAAGTCCTCCAAAAAATCTACTATACAATAATACATTTAATCGAATTGAATTGGGAAGGCCAGATAGCACTTCGATCATGTTTAAAGCATAGAAAAGTCAAATAACGTAATATGGGACCTTTAATATTTTGGGCATTAACCCAGGGATTAAAGAGTTCCGTCTAGGTGACGGATTTCCGTCAAATGAATTTGGTCTGGAAAAAAAATATATATATATATAATGATAATAATACACACAATGAAATGATTGATTATAAAAATAATATATAGTAATACATACTGTATACGTGTGAATCTGTTTATATATATATATATATATATATATATATATATATCGATTTGAATATAATTGTATTTATATGTATATAGAAATAATAAGTAATATAATAAACGAGTGGGCCTTGAACGTGCCGTGGCCACAAGAGCGCTCCGCAAATGAATCAAGGCAATGGGACGTAGCTGAGCTCACGCTCAAATGAAGACGCGATGAAGTTAGCATTGGTAACACGGAGGTGAACGTTTCTGGAAACTGCACGGAGCTTTTGAAAAGGACAAGAGGAGGAAAATTGAATAACAGCAGCAGATCCGCGGACTGGTAAGCTGGGCGCGTAATAGACGAAAGGTAATTAACGTTTACCAAACGCAATGCTATTTTACTTAACGGAATGTACAAAACAGACTTTGCTGCAACTGGGAATGGGGACAAACATGTCTTGGTGAGCTTTTGATATTGTCTTGTTTGCGATCTTCTTGCAAAACTCAGCGTGATGTAAAAGAGCCAATCAACAGGTCATGGTGCGAAAAGATGAAAGTGGCCGGTGCTTGTGCGTACTTTGCCATAAAAAAATTGCAAATATGGGAGTAATGAGAAAAAAAGTTTTGATTCGCCACCAGCTCAAAACTGCGCACAAGGCAGCTGTTTGTGCACTTTCCCACACTTCATCTTTACTTGGTGCATCAGCAACAACTAACACTAGGCTTGCTCTGGCAGACCGTGTCTGTGGCTTTATCGCAGAAAATAACGTTCAGAATATCACTACCGCTGGTAGATTTATTTAAATCATTCGCAGTTGATCGAAGTGCACTGTGCACTCAAACTTGATAGGGAAACCTTTTTCTTAAATATTGACGTGTCCACAAACAAATGTGGACAGAATTGTATCGTCCTTTTGCGATATTTTGACGAGGACAGAGCCAAAGTGTTGACGCTCCATATCGCCTCAAGTAAAGCTACTCTCACTAATATTCTGTCAAAAAGTTGACTCGTTGCTTGATCCACTTATATTTCATATCAAAATACACTGTATATCTTTGAAGAATTCATTTGAGCTGTATTCAATATACCAGTGTCTCCCAAAGTGGGTACTGCAGGGGGGCCGCGGGATGTCATAAAAAAAATAAAAAAAATAATATAATTATTTAATGTTAAATTTATAATGTTTTGTTTGTAATATTAAAATATTTGTGTTCATTATTTGACTTGAATAATCCACTGTAATCATTTTTGTATTACAATGTTTGTAGCAGAGGCTATTTCCCCAAAATAAAATAACCAGAAGAGCCTATTCTTAATGTTGTCTTCTTGGTTATTATTTTGGGGGGCCACGCAGACCCGTCAGATTTTTAAGGGGGCCTCGGTGTTACTGAGTTTGGGAATGGCTGCAATATACAATCTATTATACAATAATATATTGTAATAAAAAATATAACTTGGTCTTGCATATTACTGTGATTTACATGTGATAAATTTCCATGCAAAAATTTTCAGTCACATTTTTTTTTTTTTGCTTTAACCCCTGCATTAACCAAATGGATTTAAAAGAGACATTAAATGACACCAAAGAGTTACAAAATACAGATACAGATAACTGATAATAAACCATACATTCAGACAAAGGCTCCAGGGTGGAGAGAGAGAGACTCAGGGCTTCAGCAGTGGCCTTCAGCTACAGGGTGTTGTCAGAGAGGATCTTTGCATATATCAGCGTTGATGTTTCCCACATGTCACACTCGATTGGTCAGTCAGGGGGGTCAGCCAGAAGATACAGTGGAGCCCCCATTGGTAGCAGGGCATCAAAAGAAAATCCCAACAATATGTTTTCAGTAAGACAATAAGTATGTACTTTCTATCTAGAATTCAAATCTACATATTCTCAATTATACATTGATAGTACGATATAAAAAAGCAGTTCAACAAAAGAATCACTGAGAAAGATTATCTGCAGCCCTTGTTCTCAGCCACCACAGCGAGACACATCTCTGTTTGGTCTGATGTAATCTGAGGAATAAGACCATTCCCATTTCCAAGACATTTATGAAAGAAAACAGATCCGTCTGGACGTATTTTTGGCACTGTGCGAACCGTCCACGTGCGAGAGGCCCACGTGCAGCTGGCCGTCACAAATCCGGCAGGTTATTTCAGGTAAGGGTCTGTTGTCAGTTTCCATGACAACCAGCAGAGGCTCAACAGAGGGTTTTGTGATTATTCGCGGCGTCGGTGTCGGCTTTGAATAAAGTTTGATGTTAACACGCAGATAACCTGTTCTTCAGCGCCGCAGGGACAAAGTGAAGAGCAATTCAAAGCACAAGAGAGATTAGATCTGTGCGACATTGTGTTTTCTCTCCATTGATGAACTTGTCGGCAATCGTTCTTTCTTCAGAAAAAAGTTCCACAAGTTGTACGAGATATTAAAGCATTTTTCATGGAAGAGTGTCAGTTTTTCTTTTTGCCTTTAACGCAATACTCGACGGGAGATAAGCGACGACAAGATAAGATAACCTTTATTTGTCCTACAGTTTTCAGCCTTGTAGCGTATGATGCTGAGGGCCGCTAAGAAACAAGGGAAATGGCAGATAGACTTCATTAGACCACTAATGGTACATATTACATACAGTCCCTTTAACTTATGTATACTTACAAAAAAAATACTAATGTAAAAGTACCAATGACAAAAATCAACGTAAGTAAAAGTAACGTAATTAGTCTTGAATTTTTAACGAAGAAAAAAAACAAGGTCTCAAATTTTCATTTTAAAACACAGACACACACACCCAAGTCCACGACGACATACAAATTAAACCCAACACAATTCGCACAACTGAAAATAAAGGGGGAAAAAGAATTGTATCGAGGGGCAAACTTTTTCTCCCAAAGGCCACATTGGAATATCATGGAGAAGTTCCATACTGTCATATGGTTTAAAAAAAACCTGTGTCCTTCTCATTCTGTCTACAGCCAAAGATGCTAACGAAAGCATCTCCTCAGCCTGTCTCCTGTAACATGCATGTGTACATAGTCATGGTCTCTGTGTTCCAAACCCAACAAATACTGCTATTCACTTAACTGTGGTGATTTTCTTTTTCTCAAGGCCAAACTGTTCTGTGTTTGTCTATTCCAGGTGACGCAGCTCGTGTTCCAGTACCTGAAGATGCTGCAGACGCTGGGACCACAGCAAAGGCACGGAAACACAATCACTTCACCAACATTTCCATCCAGTCCATGTTTTGGTATTGGCCATGTCGCTGGAGATACTTTCCCAAGAGCCCATAGTTTGAAATAGAAGTTGATCACAGCTTAATTTTCTTGTCACTACGGTTATTGTTAGAGCAGGGATGTCAAGACCGGTCCTCATGGGTCGGATGGTTTCAGGTTTTTGTTCTAAACAAGCAGGAGCACACCAGAATCCACCCATTTCCTCTAAGTGAGTTCAGTCTCAACCTGAAGACTTGAGGAAATGGGTAGAGTCTGGTCTGCTCCTGCCTGGTTAGAATGAAAACCTGCAGGCCATTCAAGGAGCCTTTGATGTCTTTCACTGTCACAATTTATGTCTGAAGAGGATTTTTCTTTAAAGTTGATATTGAAGTCTCCAGGTTTTGAGTTGTCCGATACTTACTCTTCTGTGCACATTTTCTGCGCAGGATTTACGAAGAGATTCAGAAGATTGAAGCCAATGAGTTTCACTATCAAGAGCAGGTACACATCAGAGCGTTCTGGATTAACACAAATGTATTATCATTATCTAGTACTGTAAATGTTGTGTGCACAGATCGACCCCATAGAGTACGTGGAAGACGTGTGTGAGAACATGCAGCTGTTCCCGAAGGTGGACTTCCTCACAGGAGACCAGCTCATGTTCCACTACGACCCAGACGTGAGCTTCCTCTTCTTTTCTTACTTTCATTTATAAACCCAAGATTTGAATTTGTATGCAATAACGAGCTTGATCAGGAGTTTTCAGATCTATTCACACTAATATCAGGAATTTCTTTCACAAACATGTAACTCCGCCCCTTCTGTCTCAGACCTGTAATGGTTTAATGTCATTGTACCACTATGACATCACTTTGAGCAGTTTTTGTCTTTTAAAACAAAAGTATTGACTCTAGATTAGTTAAAATGGTTGATTTTGCAGCTGGATTTTTTCTCATTTGGAAAAATAAATGAATAAATGACTCCACCCTTTGGTGGTGGCACAGGAGCTTAAAGGAAGAAAGCATGTGTTTTAGGGATGTAAATCGGTGACCGTTTAACCGGTGGTTGACCGTCACAGCGTTAACCGGTCAAAGCTGTCGGTTAAAAAAGAGAAAAAGGGGAGGTGTCTTCATAACGCTATTTTAAGCCCTATTCGCACGGTGTGACGAGCGGGTCCATATCTAGCTGTGTGCGCCTATGTATCAGTAAACTCCGGGCCGACTCTCACGCCACACGTGCCACAAATGCACGCACACATGCACACGCGCGCACACACACACATTTCCCCCCCTACATTGATACGTAACATCCACACGCATCATCTCTCCCCTCTGTTACTGCCTGCTAGTTGCACACTGGTGCAGGTCAGAACTACATTGGAGCCTATATTTATACACACATACACACACACACACACACACATGTATTGTACACACACACATACCGGTCTGTCACGCTCCTCTGTGTCACGCAGCCCAAAGGATCCTTGCAAATCCGCGGCTCCAGTCAAATCACATGGAACATGTTTGTGTTTATGGTCCTTGGCATTAGATCAGCTCCACACACATCACTTTCTACTTTCTAAATTAAATGATATGATGTAAATTTTAATTTTGAATTGCTAAAAATAATGCGTCATATTTCTTCTTAAAATAGTCTGTGGGAATAATAGAATTTGGTTTGTTGGTTTCATGGTTTTAACATGAATATATTTTGCTGTAAGGAGAAGGTGTTGTGTTATTGTGGCAGTTGTATTTTAACTGTTTTTAAAATGCACTTTATTACTTGTATGAAAGGTGACTTTGAGTGTCAAGAATTATTATTGTTATATTATTATTATTTTTATACACAGAGAGTTATATATACTATGTATGTATATGATATAATTGAGATTTCAGCCACATATCCCCTTGACACTGTCACTATGTAGTACGTGATAACTGTTTATTCATATGCCCAAGTTAAAGACATTCATCTCAGATCCTTCCTCGAATGCAGCTTTTCTGATCTATTTCCAGGAAAGTTTTGCTTATCTTGCTATATTTGATGTTTGACTTGAGCTATTTTACTAACTTTCCTGTGGTCAAGGCTTTTGGGCCAGAAAAGTGCCCAGACAATGCGTCAGCACATTTACCACTGGGAACAGAAACGACCTTATGCCTAACACTGTTTCAATAATGTTTTAACTTCTTTTTTATTGTTGCATAGGATATGTTTTAAGACTCAAACAACCCACTTTTTGTTCCAATTGCCCCCTGGCTATAATTAGAGGCTAATTGGTATTTGGACTACTATTTTTTCAAACATGTAAATATGTGAATGTGTGTATGGACTTTATGTCTGTGTGTCTTTGTGTGTGTGTGTGTGTGTGTGTGTTCAAACCGTATAAGGTGAATTTAAGTATGGGGGAACTCTTAAATGTATGAATGCATGTACCTATGAGTGGTTCTGTTTATGATATGTAAAGGCTGTAAGTTCCATAATTGAAATCTCATATCAAATAATCAATTAGTTTTTAGATCCATACAGTTCTGTAAAATCTTTTTTTATACAACAGACCAAAACAAGGCTCAAGTGATTCCTCTGCAGAACATCTTCATAGAGGGGACTGGTAACACAATCCTTCCCTCTGCAGTGATGTCACCGCTCTCTGTTGTGTTTTGCAGGTGATCCACGGCGCCCTGTCCCTCCTCACTCCAGAGCGAGCCAACCTTATGCTGCTGTCTCCGGAACACGAGGGCCGCTGTCCCCTCAGGGAGAAGTGGTTTGGCACCCAGTACAGCGTGGAGGGTCCGTGTTTTCTCTGGCTGTTTATGAGCTTGTTTCTGTTGTTCCACGTCATATAATGGAAGCAGACAGTAATACAGTCACCATGTCTGGAGTTTAGAGATGGCAGATTCCTTGTTTACAAAAGACGGTTCAATATGTTTGCACTGAATGTGTTTTGCGCTCACAGATATTGCCCCGGAGTGGATGGGGAAGTGGACAGGCGAGCTGGAGCTGGACAGCAGCTTACATCTGCCAGAAGAAAATGAATTCATAGGTGAGGATTGGATTTTTTTTTTTTTTTGCCTGAGTCACGTTTTGAGTCACACTGTTCAGATAAATAACTGTCGAGATGATATAGGATTTTTTAAGGTTAGTGTCTGACTCTTGAGACCATGTGTTCTTTATCTTTTAACCCATGCTAAAATAGTATTTCTTTGTCTGTTTTTAGTCTCGTTCTGATCCCCAAAATTATTCTGAACATAATCCCTCTGCCTTTCAAATGTGTTCTAACAAAACAAAACTTGAGTCTTAGGTCCAGCTCATCTACAGTGATTTGTCTATAGAGATGGGTATACGTATAAGTCATGTCCAGTTTGTGTCATTATGTGTCTACCAATGTATGTATGGTTTCATAGTTCACTATCAACATGTATAAGCTTTAGGGGTTTCCTAGAAATGAATGCATTTAAACAGTTTCTCTCCTTTCGCACAGCCACCGACTTTGACCTGAAGCCGTCTGACTGTCCCGACACTGAACTCCCTGTTCGCATCGCAGACAACGAGAAGGGCTGCCTCTGGTTCAAGAAGGACAACAAGTTCAAAATACCAAAGGGTCAGACTTTCACTACAAAATATTCTATGTATGGGCATTTCACACTGACCCAACCCCGGGGTCTTGATCAAAAGTCCTTGGCTGAGCGACATGGGCTGGTGTCGGAGCAACTCAGCAATTTAAAGTCACATATGAGACAAAACTTTGCATAATGTAACAAGCCATGGAGCATTTGGCTTTTGCAGGCGGTGCCCTTTCCTTAAGAACGTTGTCCTTATATATGTTAATTATATGTTGGAAAGTGTCTACTGATTAACTTGTTTAGTCCATTATAATGTGTTTCCCGGGGGCTTGTGTGGTGACTATAGATGTCTTATTTTGAAAGTCGCATGTTTGTTTTTTGTCACATACTACTTCACATGGGAGCGCAGAAAACTGGATTACTCCTCATTCTAGTCATGAAACCAATTGAGCAACCAGACCACAGAGATTGAACAGATGTATTTACAAGATAAGGGAAAAGTCATACTATTTCTAATATAAGACAGGCATACTTCCCCTCGCCGCAGTGTTTTGTTTTTGCTATGTTTATAAAAAAAAGCAAAACCACACTATAGTGCAGTTAAGCCTGTCCAAAAATCAAATGCTTAAAGTAAACAAGTTGTCGCGTGGGTATATCCCATGTAAACACCGTCAGTGTGATCCAAACTTACAACCACAAGAGATGGAATCCAAATATTTCCGAGCTCGTCTTCTCACAGTAAACATATTGTCACTCTCGAACAGACTTGCGCCTATACCTTCTATACGTGTCAAGCAACAAGCTCAGAGTGGAACATGGAGCGCTGTTATTATTATTATTAGCGATCTGACAGCCTCTTGTCCTCTCCTCCACAGCCTACATCAGATTCCACATAATCTCGCCTGTCATCCAGAAGTCTGCCAGAAAGTAAGCTCCCTCCCTCCCAACCAGTGAGACAAATGGCCTTGTGTCTCCTCAACATTTTAATTTCCTCTCCTCTCTCTCTCTGTCTCTCCTCTCTCTTTTTGTGTGTGTGTGTGTGTGTGCCTCCAGCGTGGTGCTTTTTGACTTGCTGGTGAACATACTGGGACACAACCTCGCGGAGCCGGCATACGAGGCTGAGGTGGCTCAGCTCGACTACAAGCTGGTGGCCGGAGAGCACGGGCTGGTCATCAAAGTGAAGGGCTTCAACCACAAGCTGCCCGTGAGTACATCGAGAAGTCTGAGAAAGGAGAGTGCCGTGTCCAACGTGTTAAGAAAAAACGTACTTGAATAGAAATGTCTTTGTCTTGGATAGATGAAGAGAAAATAAGCTTAGTTTAAGGAGAAGTACGATACGAAAAAAAATATCTTCAGAAAACTTAATTGATCCCAAAGGGCAATTCATTTGCAGCATAAACTCAAAGCAGAACACACAGACTCTACACAAACACAGTGAGCCTCACAGTTCACACAGCAGCAGGTTACACAATATAAGTTAAAAACAACAATGAACAACACAATGCTTTTGGCCACGTCCCTTATAAAACAGAGCTGGAGTTGTTTTTAGATCCCTCCACGCTAATATCAGGAATTTATGGCGCAATCATGTAACTTTGCCCATTCTCTCTAAATGCCCCTATCTCAAATTAACGGTTAAATCGACTTTCCACTTTTCTTTCTTACAAAAATTGATCCATAGCAGTAGACAGAGGCCAAAAAATACTTGACTGTGACCGATCAGACCATAAGAAGAGTGTAAAGGAGAGATGGTGTTTGAAATGATTTGGATGACAATGTCCAGGTGACACGTAGAGATTATCTGATCTGGCCTTTTGCACCTGTATCATAATTCATCAACGCTAAGTACGTCCGAGCGTCATTGTGATCCAAGGATGATTCAAACAGAACAACAGAACTCTGGCTGGGCTCCGATTCTGCTGGATTCGGTCACGTTTCCTCCTCCACCACAGCGCATGTTTACATCCCAGGCTACTGCAGCAGTGTGGCTGAGGGATAGAGGAGACCAAGTGGGGCTGGAGGAGAAGCTCTTATCTGGGGACAGTGGAGGAGACTGTGCCCAGACAGCCCAGCCCAACCATGATCGCATGGGAGGAGAGAGAATGTGGTAACTGGCCTAGTCCAAAATAAAAAAACGATTGATGGAGACGCATTGAATCCCAGCCACATGCGGCCATTTGTACTGGGATGTTTGTCTCATGCTACCGTGCAAAAAAACAGATTACTGCTGTGTGCAAAGCTAACGACTCGCACCGCACGAGTTAAGCATGTCTGGAAAATCAAATGCCCAAAGTCAACAAAATATTGCCGGACTGTGTTTGCTCGTACTGGGTGTTTTTGTGGCCTTCTTCAGCGGCTTTTGCAGATCCAACCAAGTGTGCTAACGAAGGGAAAGTTACAAGAATCCTCCGAGACTGTCACAAAGTACGCCACGGTCAATTAACCATCGCATCTTTCATGTAGTACGTTGAGAGTGGTCAGAGCGGTTTATGTGAAAAGCCCACTGTGGCCTGGTTGAGGGTATTCCATATTCTCAGTCGCTGTCTTGAGTTTACACGTACAATACATGTCAATAATCTAAATGAATGGCATGTGCTGTTTCCCATGTGCTCAAAAGTCACATAAAAATATTAAGTGACATGCAGAAATGACTTTGATTCATGATTCGTTTTGCCACAGTCCATCTCTGATCGGGTTTGTTGGTAAAATGACAAGCGTTTAAAGGCGAGAGACGCACCTCGGCGAGTTGCAGATGGCGGTGGGTTGCGTCACAATATGTACGTGGACAAGGCTAAAGAACATTTCTTTGTTTTCACGTCCACTTTTCTCAGTCCTTGATGCTCTGAACCGTAAACATCAGCTGGCAGTGGAACAAACACTTCGAAGTACTTTGTTGCAAAAGTAAAGTGCAGTGGAACAGCTGTGATACATTTCAGGGTCTCTTTGGCGTAAGCGTTCTCTCGTATTACACTCATTTAAATCATTCGGAGAAAGAAAACAGATCATCATTTTGATACTGTGACGATCCTTGAACTAGAGGTATGACTCTCGCTTGGGGTGCAAGAGGTCCGAGGTTCAGATCCCGGACGAGCCCCTCTTGTTTCTACTCTGGCTCAGGAGTAGCAAGGAAGAAAGGAAACCACACAAGCGATAAATGTTTTCATTCATGAAATGACAAGGCCAGCTAGATTTCACCTACACTTTTTCACCACTAACAAAATTCACAAACACACAACGATTGCATCATACGTTTGTTTAAATGAAAGCAGATACAAAAGACATAGTAATACACATTCCAAAACTCCAGCAGGTGGATTGTAAAAGTACGATTCTGGCAACCAAAGTGTGATTGTAATGGTTTTGACTTTTTTATATAGGAATCCATATTAATAAGTCCCTTTTAACTATTGTTGAGCCACACAATACATCAGACAGCAGTGTGCAATTCTATATTCAATATTTGAATCCAACACCAAGTATGAATGCCCCTAACAACATCAATGATTGAAAAAGGTTCTGCACATATTCTATTTATGCTTGAAATCAGTTCTTTCGCAGTTGGACCTCAAAGACTTGTATGTGTGTTTCCCGCAGACCAGTCTTATCGATTCCTTTTTCTGTTCCATGCGATTTTCTCTCCATAATAACTCCCTGTAGTCTGTTTTCTCATGTTTATCAGCAACTCAAAGCATTATTATAGATTGCTCCCTAATATCACCCCGCACTCTCACAACCCGTGACCGCACTCCCGACACTTCTCTCTTCGGACCCCAGGAACCGTTCCAAGTCCTGTGACGACTGTTCCGAGCGCAAACGAAAACAATGGCAGTGACTCATTCTGGCTCGGCTTTTGAGCAGCAGCGTGGCGTGACAAAGCTTTGTGCTCCGTAGTTGCTGTTCCATCTGATTGTGGACCACCTGGCGGCGTTCGCGGCCTCCCCCGACGTCTTCAGCATGTTCTCGGAGCAGCTCAAGAAAACCTACTTCAACATCCTCATTAAACCGGACAAGCTTGGCAAGTGAGTGATGCCCACAGCCCCCATCCCGTGGATGTGTGCACAGTGCCGCCTAGTGGTGGAAAAAGCAAAAAAATTAATTATCGTGGAGAACTGGCTTGCACTGTAATTATAGCAAAGAAATAAAGTGGTTCTAATGTGATTCCTTGTCAGATTGAAACGCGGGATTTCAAACCGGCATCATTGACCCAGGCAGCAATCAAAGCAAATAAGAAATGTGTAGTGTGATTTAACATCTGTATTCAATGCTGCACTTTCAAAGCCTTTAAAGCTGACAGAGGACAAATCTGGGCAGTTATTGAGGCTGAAAAGTGAAAGATACAAGCAAATATGCTCGAGCTGAATGATCGTGTAATGTTGAGCTCATCACAAAATGAATTTGATTTTGATAAAGATTAAAGGCCACTGCAAAAAGGTTTCAGCGGTTTAGATCCGGGCCACAGAATTCTGAATTTTGAAAGCTCCATTGTGGTATTGAGCTAAAGATATCTCAACCTATTTTTGTAAGAAATGTTCAAGTACAATTTCTTACGTTGTCTAATGTTATTGTATCCTTACCTATGTTACCCCTTATGGAGGTTTTAACAGACATTTAATTTGAAATGGACAAGGTGGAGCCCTGCAACTTTATTCAAGAGATGTAGGAAAACTCAATAACAGAAATGTATACAAAAAAAACGATTAACAATTTTATGTGAAGCCATGTCACTGTATCGAAAGTGTCCTGGATTTTGCTACTTTGGTGTTTAAAGGTGCACCTCGTAGCTTTTCGTAGAAGCAACCAAAACATGCTAGTCTCCATGGAGATGTGATAGTTTTGCTTGGAAGGTTTTGCCAAATAACAGAAAAAAAGTGACTTTGAGCGGAGTCACTCGTTTGTTTCTATAATCTATAATTTGAATAAAACCTAGACTTGAATAATGGATTCATATCACACGGCGGAACACTCCTGACAAGACAATACCATTTCCCCATTTCAGCAGAAAACTCACAGAGGGCTTTTAATTGATAAAGATAATAAAGAAAATGATAAAATAAAATAAAAGTTTGTGAGAATAACCTCTCTTAGCAGCTGGTTCTAGTTGCTGTTGCTTCACTCTCCTCCTCCTCAGGGACGTGCGCCTCCTGATCCTGGAGAACTCGCGCTGGTCCATGGTGGAGAAGTACCAGGCGCTGGCAGCCGGCCTCACCGTGGATGACCTCATGCAGTTCAGCCAAAGCTTCAAGTCGGAGCTGTACGCAGAGGGACTGGTGCAGGGCAACTTCACCAGCGCCGTGAGTGGCCGCCACCGCACTGACCACGACCGCACTGACTGCCACCGCACTGACCACGACCGCACTGACTGCCACCGCACTGACCACGACCGCACTGAATGCCACCGCACTGACCGCCGCCGCACTGACCGCCACCGCACTGTCCACATCCGCACTGTCCACGACCGCACTGTCCACGCCCGCACTGACCTCGACCGTACTGACCTCGACCGTACTGACCTCGACCGCACTGACCGCCCGCACTGTCCGCGACCGCACTGACCGCCACCGCACTGTCCACATCCGCACTGTCCACACCTCGACCGCACTGTCCGCGACCGCACTGACCGTCCGCGACCGCACTGACCGCCACCGCACTGTCCACATCCGCACTGTCCACGACCGCACTGACCTCGACCGCACTGACCTCGACCGCACTGACCTCGACCGCACTGACCTCGACCGCACTGACCGCCCGCACTGTCCACGACCGCACTGTCCACGACCGCACTGACCACGCCCATACTGACCACGCCCATACTGACCACGCCCATACTGACCACGCCCGCACTGACCACGCCCGCACTGACTACGCCCGCACTGACTACGCCCGCACTGACTACGCCCGCACTGACTACGCCCGCACTGACTACGCCCGCACTGACTACGCCCGCACTGACCATGCCCGCACTGACCAACCACGCCCGCACTGACCACGCCCGCACTGACTACGCCCGCACTGACTACGCCCACACTGACCACGTCCGCACTGACCACGCCCACACTGACCACGTCCGCACTGACTACGTCCGCACTGACTACGCCCGCACTGACCATGCCCGCACTGACCACGCCCACACTGACCACGTCCGCACTGACCACGCCCGCACTGACTACGCCCGCACTGGACCTCGAGTCGAGAGACCTGGGGGTAGTGGCGGGTTTGGGAGTTGAGGCACAACTAGCAAACTAATTCCGAAATAACTCATGATTGTCCCTACAGAAAGACTCTTGGTAAATGTTTAAAGTTATCTACGTGGCCTAGAATGAGTCTGGTGTGTGTGTGTGAAAGGCTGGTGGTGGTCTGAGGGGCTGATGGCACCTACTGGTTGCCTCGCTTCTGTCAGCGTGCCCCAGGGCAGCTGTGGCTACAGTAGTAGTTTAACACCACCGTGTATGGAGTGAAAGAATAACGACTTGTGAAGCGATGCTATATTATTATTATCAAACAAAGTGACACACATCAGACCACAACAGACTTCATCTTATTAGAAAACATGATAGCCCTGTGAGTCACTATTCGACCCTTTGGGCTGAGATTGGCTGAGTGAAGGGTAGACCTATATTTCATTAATCTGTCTAAAAGCCGATATACAGATGTGACAGAGGCCAAACATACATGCATGCCATAACTAGTCATAGAGCCAAACCGTTTTTGATTTTATTACATGGGTCCTTCTTGAGGCTTGAGAGTTAGGTACCCCAGCTTTATTCAACAACAGACCAGACATCCACTTATTTTTGTAGTTTTTGTTTTATCTTAGCTCGAATAGAGAAAACGGGTGCCTTTTCATTCGCTAGTCCACGGCTATACTATCACTTCCCCTTCTGTGTACGACAAACTGAGTAATTTGTCGCTGTTTTCTTTGGCTCACACCCAGGATTTGGTTGTTTTTGACCTACTGTCCTTGTTTACGTGCCCACTCTTGACGTTAAACTGGTGTGTACAGCACTTTGCTCAACCTTGTTATGGTTTTAAAACACTTGATACAAGGACAGTACTTCTATGTCGTTTTCTCTCAATTCTGAACTCTACTGGCAGCAATGCGACTTTGTCCTCCCTCTAATCTATGCTACATATATCTTTATTGAACCCAGCCCAAGTCACTTCATAATACATTTATTGCAGGGCTATAATGAAGTGCTTCTTTGCCTCATTAATCCTAGCAATGCCTTTTTTTTTTTTTTTTGAATTGCCCGTTCCCGCTGCCATTCTTCTATTGTTCTTCCTCCATTATCCACCCTCTCTTCATTACATCCTATTGTCTCTCCCCGCAGGAGTCAAGCCAGTTCCTGCAGTACGTCACGGAGTAAGTACATGTTTTTCTTTCTTTTAGTCTCGCACGCTATCATTTGCATCAGCGTCGGGAGCTTTTTGAAATCATTGCCTTGTTTTTTTTTTGTTTTTTAGTTTCATTTTTTTCTCCCTCTCAACAGTAAGCTGCAGTTCTCCAAGCTGCCTGCGGAGGTGCCGGTGATGTTCCGGGTGGTGGAGCTGCCGCAGAATCACCACATGTGCAAAGTCAAGTCTCTCAACAAGGGAGACGCCAATTCTGAAGTCACCGTCTATTATCAGGTCTGTCGTTTTCGTGCATGCTTTGTTTCTGAACATGAAGGGAGAGATGGTTCAATAAACGTGTGGTGTGTGTGTTTGTGTATGTGTGTGCGTTCGCAGTCGGGCCCCAAGGCTTTACGGGAGCATACTTTGATGGAGCTGTTGGTGGTAAGATTGAGTTTAAACTTGATATGGTTAAGTCTTCTTTTGTGTATCTGTCTGGAGGTATCTCACAGAACTTTTGTTTTTTGGTGTTGTTGCATAAATAATAGATTTTGCTTGTTTTCAAACAGAAAGAGTCTTGTCAAAGTCATGTCAAAGACCACAACATGCTTTGTCTTAAAAGAAAACCGTTGATCTTTTGCACACTTTTTGACTCTTTGGGCTGAATGGGAGAGCCAGGGTTTTTCTCTTTCACTTTTCTGTCTGGAAAAGCTGATTTAAAGATTACAGAGGCCGAAAATACATGCATATAATAACCAGTGGCGGCTGGTGGAATTTTCTACTGGGGGGGCTATGAATATGATGACTAGATATATACCAGCAGTAAGTAAGTTTACACTGACTGTTGTGACTGAAGCCTCACACGAGAATCAACAAGGTCACATGATCAGGCCTGTAGCTTTCATCCAGCTGGGATGAAATATTTATCTTCCCAAACATAGCTAATTTGAGGGCATTTTGCATGTGGATACCAGTCTGCTCATCCTTCTTTGCCTTTTCTAAAAAGTGCTTCAGATCAGTCATACCTGTCTTGATCCATGCTGGGTCAGATCCTGATGTTTGAAACAAGAGGCATGGAAAGCAAAATAAAGCATTAGCCTCGCTACATGCTGCTAGCCAAGATTTGGCGCTGAACCAGGTCCTGGACTGCTGACTAATGGTAATATTTGGCTGATCAGGTCCAAGCTCTTTAACCTCAACCTTCTCCTGGTATGATCTTCTCTCAAACGGTATTGTTTTGAGTGATCTAACTGAATTATTCTTTTTCTCGTTCTCCATTTTGCGTCTCTTTACGTTTGTCTCAAACTCCCACAGCTTGACCTGTCAATCACTGTAAACGGACGTCACAGACAGTGACAGTACAGGTCGCGGGCGATCCCGCCCCCTCAGGGCGCACTTCTCCTGCGCCCCCAAATCGTCTTATCTCTTGCATTGAAGAGGAGCTACTGCGCATGTACAACTTTTAACGAGAGTCCATAGACGGCTCAGGGCGCAATCTTTTGCGCCCTGAGGCGGAAATACGTCCTCAGTCCGACACAGACAACGCTGATGAGCTTAATCAATCCAACTCAGCATAAACTATAAAGTATTTCTTCCACATCTGAAATAAAATACACATAAATTTCGAAATATTTTAATGTTATTATTTTTTTTAACGTTTTATTCAAGGTAACATGGCAAGTTGTGAGTGGTGGGGCGGCGCCCTAGCGCCCTCTATTGGCCGGCCGCCACTGATAATAACGCCTCACAAACGATAGTGTTCTGAGAGGAACAAGTTAAATGGATTTAATGTTTCTGTATGATTTGATAGTTAGGTACCCCAGCTTTAATCTGTTTTATTTGTGCTAGAAAAGAATAAAAGACACACATGTACTGTATATATATTTGACAGATGCACATGGAAGAGCCCTGCTTTGACTTCCTCCGCACAAAAGAAACCTTAGGGTAAGATTTTACCGTTTTTACCGTTTGGAGTGACCTTCAAATGTTTACTTTTACTGTTGTAGGGAAGGGAAATATCTAAAGGAGAAAAAATATCGATAAACAAAGAAATAAGGATTTGTCATGTAGTTTTACTGAGAACATACACAGCACCTGAACTACTCACAATATGTTATGTATTTAATATGTGTGTATTTCTCACCAGTCACCACACCAGGTTCTGCGTATACCTCTGGTCTTACGGCTCCTGCTTATGCTCAATGTCTATGTCTGCGAATGTTACTTGTCACGCATATATAAATGATTGGAATCTTGGACGTCTGCACTTTTGGTCCTTGAGCCTAAGAACGCAGACAGCTTTATTGTATGCATTATAGATAGAACCTTCGCTTTGGCCTTTCATCTTGAACAGAAATCATGTCTGTGCACAGAAAAACACAGTAGGAATAACGAGAAAGAGAAACTGGACTATTTGACGCATTGGACTGAGAGCAAGCGTAAGCGCATTGGGTGACCTTTGTCTATAAAATGCGCTTCATAAATAAAGATTTCTTACTAGTCTCTCAGAAAAAAGCCGATTTCAAGATGTGGCAAAAATACATGTGAAAACCAGTGATCGAAGCAACTGTTCTATCACCGAGCAAGGACCTACTGTAGTCGGATGGATTTTATTAGATCATTCAATTTTAGTTTGGTTTGAAAGTTAGGTCCCCCAGCTTTAAAATACCAGACATGCAACCTGCTGTAAACCCATCCCATTGTACATATCAATCCAAACCTCTGTATGTTTATGGCACATTTTATAAAACACATTTTTGAAGTGCTGGGCAGAGGTAAAAGTAAATCAAATATCCAGGTCTGCCAGTTTTATGTAAACAATAGATTAAACAATTAAACTAAAATAGAAAACAAACATAATTTACGCATATATACATAAGCAAGAGTAAATACATATGCACCTGTTTGCTCTCCCCAGATCTCACCAGTAAGTTAGTAACCTTACTTGTTAGCACCGTACACTTTTCTTTTCCCCGTCACGTTCACAGTCATAACACACACACCTCTTCGCCTCAACTTCATCCAACATCGACAGATCGGAGAATGGCCACTAGCCGTTTTTTAATAAGCGTTTGGCATTTCGAAAACCACCTTGTGCCGACGGCTGTGTTTGCCATATCTCGCTTGTCCAGTCCCCCTCCCAAACACACACACGCACACACACACACACACACACGCATGAAGAATCCAACTTGTCCATCACCACCTTCCACCGTTCCAAAACCCCCGAATCGTTCCTTTAGGGCTCCTCCACTCTGAGTGACAGAAACCAGATCGTCTGCTCTTCCCCCCCCCACAGGTACCACGTCTACCCCACGTGCAGGAACACCTCAGGCGTGCTCGGCTTCTCCGTCACCGTGGAGACGCAGGCCACCAAGTTCAAGTGGGTGCATAATAAGACATTACATTAGCGACTGCAGCGGGTGTTCTTACGAGAGTGTGTGTGTGTTTTTTTTACCCCTGTGTGTCTTTCCAGCTCTGAGTTTGTGGAGTCCAAGATCGAGGAGTTCCTGGCGTCTTTCGGGGAGAAGCTGGACGCGCTGACCGAGGAGGCCTTCAGCACTCAGGTCGGCGTCAAAGTCCAGTTTTTGTGAAGTACATTCCTCTTTTGTGGCATTTCCTTTTCTGCCGGGAGAGACGTCCATAGTATCAGTCCATCATGTGTCAATCTTGGTCCTGAGCTCAATTCCATTTTTTATTGTTGTATAGCCCTAAATGACAACTGTAGTTTTCTCGGAGGACCTTACAAAACCGTCGCTATCGCCAACACAGATCAGAGAATCAGTTCAAACACAAGAAATGCAATGATAACAAGTGTGTGTACTCATCATGATAAATATAGGGATTTTATGGTTGTTTATTTTTTATGCTGGAGTTAGAGATTTTTTTTTAAATTTAGTTTAGAGTTTTTGTTCTTTTAGCTTGTGCTGTTCTGTAACTGGTGATGCAACACTGGAATTTCCCCACTGTGCAACAAATAAAGGATCCGTAATCATAAACACATTTATATATAGCCAAGGGGCCAATTTATGGACCAATGTCCATAAAGCCTAGCATACATCGGACTGGCAACTGATTATATCCGTCGCATATGAGTTGCTGCCCCGCACACATCGACAATGTGGCGAAAACGGGCGACTCCCAGTAGCAGACCAGTCTCGGGAATAACTGCAACTGACTGAATCCGGAGATCGACTGTTTATCTCCAGTTGTAAGAGCGCTCACATCGACCGATTTCGGCAACTGATCATCTCCATCATCTACTCTCAGTCGCCAAAAGCCGTCTTGCAAATAGTTGTCTCAGTTACTCTGTCTATGTACGCTAGGCTTAAGGCAAGGCATGGCAAGTTTATTTGTATAGCACAATTCATACCCAAAGCAACTCAAAGTGAACAAATCAAGATTGTATTAAAATCATAAATAATCGCAGCACAATGATTCATTACACTATTAGTTAGAGCTTGAAGGTTGACATAGTTCATAAAGGTTCTTGACCATTATGTTTTTGTCAGGCTACGTGCAGGCTACGTCTCTGAAGTGAGGCTAGGTTATTTTTACCACAATCAGATATTACATTTCCCACCGTTTCCAAGCATCAAAGTGCCCTGTAAAAATCAATAGGTTTCTTTCATGTTCTGTAACTCTTAATATGAAACAGTTTTGGAGAGAAATTGTGAAAGAATAATGTTAAAAATGTTTCCCCAGGTTTTTGATAGAGATTTGATTCACAAACTTGTATTATTCTTATGTCTGGAAGTCCTTTTCTCCGAACCAACATCATGCATTTGTGTTTGAGTATTGTCACCACTTCCATTTCACTCGTGTGAGAAAATAATCACACCATAATTAGACAACTTTGTAAAGTTCTCCCGAGACGATGCTGTTGTGATTTAGGGCTATGCAAAAGTAAGTTGAATTGATTTGAACGCGCCGTGTATATATCCTCGAGATAAAGTAGTCCCCGTGGTATTATTAGAATCATGGCAGCACATATGAAAGGGCAAAGCTGTTTTATATGACATCATTTAAACATTTATTTATCTAGTGTCATATCAGAGCATAAACTAATCCATAACTTGAGCGTTCTCTGGTGCTTCAGGTGACAGCGCTGGTGAAGCTGAAGGAGTGCGAGGACACACACCTGGGGGAGGAGGTGGACCGCAACTGGGCCGAGGTCCTGACCCAGCAGTATGTGTTTGACCGTCTGCAGAGAGAGGTGAGGGGGAGACGGACGCAACCGAGCCTGACCAGCCCTAGACTCTCCACTTACTGACACGTCTGAAAGCAAAAAGGGTCTGAGATCGGTCAAGTTCTCAGTCGCTCCAGCCAGAATTTCTGCCGGCCAATCACAGGGACTGTGTGATTGGCGCAAAACTGGGCATGCGGAACTCAACCTGCATCCGATTTCATTAGTTTCTCCTGTCTTGTTGTTAAATCTCACACTACAAAAAATGATAAAATATGAGGAAATAAATGCTTTCCAAGGGAGACATTTCTTGCGTCTTCTTAAAAGATAATTCCGCTGGCAGTCAAAATATACTCGATTTAAGAATCTGAATTTTTTGTTACTTTTCTTTTCACCACTTTTTTGCAGTGCTTTGTTTTTTGACCCTTGTGTCACAGCGTTGATCTGAGTCTCAGACAGTCTTAAACAGTGTTTAAAGTGTTTGTAAAACCTGGATTGTCCTTCAGTGTGATTTTGGTGATAATGAAAAAATGGAACAGCATTTGATGTTTTCAGCTCAGAGAAAACCCAATGAAACGCTAAGAGGCTACAGGGCACTGACTGTAGAAAAAAAAAAAAATCTGCCACAGAGCCAAGTGTGTGAAAAACCACCCAACATCCCAGTTAGCTCTGATTCTCGATATACTATATTATGTTTTCTATATTGGACTGGTATGAATAATAATATGAAGAATGGAACGATAGGGGAGAGCTAATTAGTGGTATACAAAGTCGGTAAAACAAAACGACAAAAACAATTCTAAAACGGGGAAAAAACAAAGTTAAATTGAGGTGAATGGTTGAAGCGTTCTCAGGAGTTGGAGGAAGTATAAAAGTGAGTTTGTCCTGGTATAGTGCAAGTAGGAGCGCAGTATGGTGCGCGCCATCCAGTGTAATGAATGAATGAATACTTTATTTTGAGCCATGGCAAAGAAGAACAAAGAACAACAACAATACAACAGAATAGAAAAAAACACAAAACATGATAAATAAACAAAACATACTGTATATTTGTATATTAACAAAGAGTCAACTCGAAAAGGAGTGGGAAGACTTTTGAACTCCCACCACCTATTCATCTGTAAATAAGGAAATACTAAAATCATGTGCAATATACTAATACTGCAACTTCAGAATGTCACTGAACAATGTCACTTTATCTACTAATTATTATCCTGCCCTGTATGTACAGTATATAACTCCGCACTACTACATATATATATTTTTTGGAAGACTGGTATTGAGGCATTTACAGCATTTAAAGCTAGTTAAGAAACATTGCTACTACTTGTTTTGTATATTTTCTTTGCTCCCTGTGTGCTCTTTCTATTGTCCTGTATGTGCGCTGCAACATTGAAATTTCCGGGTTTTTCAGATCACTGCCTTGAAGCAGATGACGAAGGCAGAGCTGGTGTCGTGGTTCCAGGAGCACCGAGGCCCGAGCAGCCGCAAGCTCAGCGTCCACGTAAGACCCCACCGTCACACACACACACACACAGGGGTCTGGGGGGAGGCCTCTGGAGGAAACCGCTCTGGAAGTGTGCGAGAAACAGGCTGCGGCGACAGCAAATCATCTGCAGACCTTTGACAGATGTTAAGCAGCCCATTTACGGAACATTAAAAACATCATCAATCAACCGACAACAGACCAACAGACACACACCATCTGCTGGAGAGACACGGCGGCGTATTTCAGAGCGCTCAGATCTGCACCGTGAGACGTCATGAGGGCGTGGACCAGAAAGTGTCGTCAAAAGTTAGATCTGGCTTTTTTAATGCATCACAACTACATCGCACAGACCCACTAAACCTACATTTCCTAACACACCAGCAATAACAGTGATCTACACACACACACACACGCGCACACACACGCACGCACACACACACACACGCACATGCACCCCAAAAAATGCAATAAATCCGATTCGAACCTCCCTCTCTACCTCAATGTATTCCTTAATCTGTATGAATTTCATGTAAATATTGATTGGCATTGTTTTTGTATAATGCAATGTGTCACTTTCGTTCTTGATGCTTCCAATATAATTTATTTATTTATTTATTTTTAAGTTAGATCCGCCACAAACACATGGACAAAGCATGTCTATAGTAAATAATGTTTAATTCTATAGCAGGACAGTATTTTATGTCATTAAAATGAAATTCCTCAAATGGAACCGTAAATACATACAGTAAATACTTGTAAGGCATTGTGACGTTAGTTTTGCAGTCGTGATAAACGTCTATAACTGCGACAAAACAAGGTGAACACAGATGTAAAATACACCATAATACTTTATAATCCTATATTCGTGCTTAAGAATAGATGTGTGATGACTCGGGATCATTCAGGAGCAACAGGCCGGAGAGCCCTGATCTGGAGTTTACGGATTCTGAGCTTTAAAATGTACAACATGTGCTACGAATATTTGGGGTAAAGTTTTACTAAGTGAGCTGGAAGCTGAGTAGAGGCTGTAACGTCACACAATAAAGAAACAATTCAACTAAAACTGATAATGAACCAATGTCTCGTGAGACTTTAAAATTGGCTGATCTTGTGGGTACAAAGTCATTCCTACTTTTACTGCTAGAAGAAGGCATTGCCACTCAAGAACATTTGTTATGCATATTTTTTTGAACATGTAATACAGCTTTTACTTTTTTTTTTTTTACTCATGTCCACCTCTTCTCTCCACAATACAAATTAGAAAGTTGAGATAGGAGCTTTGTTGGACTTTGTTAATGTTTGTTATTTCTTCCAGAGAGGTATCATTGGCTTTTAAGACATAGACTTATCCTTAAAGTAATATATAAAGGCACTCATGTATTGTAAAAGTAAAAAGAAAGCCTGGAACAAAAGACAGAAACATAATTCCCTTTTGTTCCTTTCCCTGGACATCGCTTGCAAAAGTCTCAGTCCTCCATAGACACATAGACAATCCCCTTCTCCACATCCCAGTGCAGTGAGATTCCTGGTTCTCTGTCGCCCCCAGGTGGTCGGCTTCGGCGCTTCAGAGCAGGACGCAGAGGGAGGAGCGGAGAGGGGCAAAGGAGACCGCGACGAGGAGGAGGACGACGAGAGCGGCTCCACGTACGGAGAGGTGTCCAGGCTCTGCTACCTGCCCCCCTCGGCCAGGACCCCCAGTGCCAACGCCATCATGGACATTCACGCCTTCACCAAGGACCTGCCCCTCTTCCCCTACCACAAAATACTGGAATGACCACTTCACACGCAACAAGGCCACGCATTTCTGATTGTTTACAGAACAATATGACTTGGTTTCACTGACATAAACATAGATGTTTACTCTTGTTTTGCTTAAGCAGCTTTGTACAATATAACTTATTAAGCAGAGGTGATAGTCAAAAGCTAAAACTAGTCATTTAGAGAAATAATAAACATACTCCAGGCAAAGGACAAAACTGGAACTTACCTGAACTGCTTCAGGATCAGAATGACTCTCAAACTTTAACCAGTGCTATTTTTTTTTAAACTATGTTGTTGTTATAGATTGAAGCTGAACAACATTGCATTTTAAAATTATCATGTCTATTGCAAATGGTAATGTGAAACCAGCCAATTGGATTCAACAGTATCAAAAAAACGGCAATTTCTATATTTTTTCCAGCCGACATTCACAATACATTTTTTTTTTTTTTTTCCTTATGATCGACTTTAAATTTACCTAGTGACACGTGACATAGACGGGTCCAAAAACCTCTTCTTACACACATTGTAGAACTATTGAAATCAATTTTACAATGATGATAATATTCTATTTCTATCTTACAACCAAAACTGGATTAACTTTTCTGCTCTAAAATTGTCAGGTTTGTGCAGCCGATCCCGAACGCCAAAGTTTAAACAATTGCGGGTTTTCTTAATACCAGAGAATTTACTCCACAGCAAAAGAGAGAGACGCATTTTGACAAAACATGAAAAAAAATACATATGCAGAAAGTGTGAGAAACAGTCCTTTTTCAGTCATTTCTCTTCATCTTTAAACTTGAGCTTATTCAAATCTAAAAGATGTTCAGAAACCATGGCTTAAACTCACAATATTGTTTAGTTTTTGTAAATTTTCTCCAAAAAGGCTTTTACAACATCCTAATTCATGATAACTATAGTTTCCCAGTGTCACTCTCATCTCATTAAACTTCATAATAACTAATTCACAAGATTTTCTTTGATTATTGCTCCATTTTGTGGGAATTACTAAATGAACAACGTTGATTTTAATGTATTTGGACTGACAAAAACATGTATCACAACTGATTTTTTTGTTTTGCAGGCATGTGTTGTTGCTATTAGCTTATTTTTAAACACAAAAGAGGCATTTATTTCCCCCTTTAGGATTGTAATGATACTTACTTTGTGCTGTGGTTTGGAGCCAGAGCTTTGTACAAGGAATAAATGCGTTTGAGGTGAAGGAGCCATGATTCTTTTCGGTCTGTATCACTGGTGTGTGTCTGTCCCAGAGGAGAGTGAGGCATTGTGGGTAACGTACACTAACCATTTCACACGCTTGTACATAATGAATATTGAATAGGCTGCAGCGGTTTGGTGTCAGGATTAAACGGATTGAACAGAACGTATGCGGCCCTCGTGGTCTGCTTTAGGTCGGGCGCCAGGTCTAAGTCGTCCATTACGGATGTTTGGACTGTCACAGACGCACACACACACAAGAGACTTAAAAAAACCACAACACCTCAGCGAAGGATGTGACGACTGTGTGGCTACACGTGTTCTCCCATCACCGCACTAACCAGGTCCTGCCTTGCTTATCTTAAATCAGGATCAGGGTTCTACTTGCAGGTGTGACCACAAATACCACACATGATGTCTTGTAAATGGTATTGTGTAACCAGCCCCTTTACAGTAATTCAATAGTTTCAACAGTATCAAAAACAGGCCATTTCTAGATTACTCTTTTCCACCCGACATTCACTGATATTTACCTGTGATTAGTACAAACTATGGATTTATTTTCTTTTACTCAAAAAGCAGTGGAAATTGTAGTTGAAGGGGAGCTTGCATGTGTTCCCTATGACTGGTTTCCTCTGGATGCTCTACACATCTAGAGAAAAAACAGCTAAGGTTAAGGTACACTTTATTTGTCTGCTGTATTTGACCTATTCTGTATTGTACCACTAGGGCCTCTGTCACAGCTCCCAGGACCCATCTCAAGATGTTGATGCTCTGCTTGAACAAGACAAGAGCTGGAGGACTACACAGAAACAGGGAGAACATGCAAACTCCAAGACCCCATCAATTCAAAAGACAAGTTCTAAATGTAAATACCTGTATCTAGATGTGGATGTCTTCTGCTACTGGACATCTGAATTTCTCCTAAGGGGATCAATAAAGTATCGATATAGATTTAAATGTTTACAGTATCTACATCTGTATGTTTTGGTTCAGTCCAAACACACAGACGATATACAGTAACTGAACTAGTTTTGGGAAACAATAGCTCAGTTGGTAGAGCATTGGCCTTTGGTCCCTAAAGGTCATGAGTTTGAACCTACTCCAACTGCTCCCACTAATGTCTGCTGTCGTTGTGTCCTTGGGCAAGACACTTAACACCACATTGCCTGTAGCTCCCGCTGAAAGACCAAGGTTGTGGCACCGATAATGGAGCAGCCATCTTCCTGTGGACTCACCACCTGCAGAGGATCAGCGAGCTATGAGAGTTGGTGCCACCCCCCTGACCCAGAAATTGACTAATAAAGGTGCAAAAAATGAATGAGTTTTGTTCAGAAAAATCTACCAGAAAATGATCTTGCATCTGGGTGAATAAAAGTCAACTTTTTGTCCAAATACCTTCATAGTGTAAAAGAAAATGCATTTAAACATATCCACAGATGCAAAGATGAGCATCCTTCGGCCCCTGGGGAGCTGTTATTTTTCAGTTGACTCATGGATTCTGGACCAAGTAGAAAATGAAAGATTTATTCCTTTTAAAAATTAAGTCAAAAGTAAAAATAGTGTATCCTGAATCCTGACCAACTCCCTCAATCCATAACATTTCTCATAATATTTACAGTAGCACTGGAGGTGAAACTACAGTAAATGTAAATCTGTCCCGTGTTGGTCGGGGGTGGATACAGTGTGCAGTGAGGAGCCATGAATAATAAATGTCCTCATGCACAGAATCGGTCACTATCAGCGACGTGAGCTTTTGTTCAAAGTGAAGAATGGCCGCGCCTCGGAGCCATAATCACAATATTAGCAATTAGGCCCCAACAATAGAACTCCTCCGATGAACATTAGCATCAGCAGGCGCACTTTCTGAAACGAACTGTGGAGACTGGAGAGTTAAAGAAATGTGTTTTCTCTTCTTTTACACATTCGTACTTGTAGAGATTTGTACAGAATTGAATAATCTTTGTCAGAGCTGGAGTCAAATGATATGTACTTTTCTAATTTTCAATGCATTTGTTATGAAAGACACGGGCATAAAAACGGATTCAAAATAGCACCAGAGACAAATCTACAAACACAATATACTAAAAGTACAATGAGAAATGTTTACAGCTGAAAACAAACATAAAGTGCCAATTGTTCAAACGGGAAACGGCTCGCGGGAAAACAAAAGTGTGATTGACGAGATGTCGGGGACCTAGCGGAGCACGTTTTTGCGGCTAAAGTTACACAGCGCACTTGCAGCAACGTTTATGTTTTGCCCGGCTCCCCTTAGTCTATGATACACGGGTGATACGGCAGTGTTGCTTAGGCATTTTGGCACATTTTGCAGGTTTATATGGTTATCTACTGTTATGACTGCACTTTGTTGTGGCGACATTCTTCCATCTTCAACCAGCATCAGATCAGAACGCATTAATGCAAAATCCATGGAAGAATTTAGCCTTTTATTACTAATTGTAACAAAAGCCGAAAAGCACAATACGTCTTCTTTAAACTTATCTTCATGGACACCAGCTGTTCACATGCATTTATAAACCATTTTACTGCGATAAAAGCTGCAAATGAATACATGTTGAGGAAAAAAAGATGTGTTTGAAGCCATAGTGTGAACATTTTCCAGCAAAAACCTTTAAACCACAACCAAATGTAACAGTGTAGTAGAAAGTTATACCGCTCTCTCTTACTCTCAAAACAGATTGGTTCATTCAATCACTAGATTTCTCACGTGTGTTTTTAGCCTCTGTCACATCTTAGATCAGCTTTGTCGGACAGAAAAGTCAGAAAGAGAAGCCCCCGTCATTCATTCATTCATTCATTTTCAACCCCTTTATTAGTTCTGGGTCGGCGGGGCAGCAATGAGAGCTGAGACCAAATTCTCAGTACTCAATAAAATAGGCCCCCATCAATTCAATTCAATTTACTTTTGTAAAGTAACTTTACAATGTTCAGATTTTAGATAATTTTCCTCTCTCTCCACACGGTGATGACGGAAGCGAGTCGCCGAACACACTGGAGCCTCAAAGCCCCCAACCAACACCATCCGTTCACTCACTCGTTACATTCAGACCTATTGTGGATGTTTTTAGTGGTAGGGAGGCAAACCTACGCAGACACAGAGAGAACATGCAAACTCCACTCAGCCTCATTCTCTTGCTGAGAATTCTACCCACACAGCCACCGTGCGGCCGTGTCCATGAATGTGGTTGAATGTCCTGCATCTGCAAGGATCAATTCTAAAAACCCAGTGGAAGCAAATGAGAATTCTCGGTGACGCCCACATTGAAGAACGGACGGACAAGCTGTAGATCTGATTGGTGATGTTAAACCAATCAGATCTCAGCCCAAAGAGTCAAATAGTGACTCCCAGGGCTCTGTCTTACAAGTTTTACACAGATACAACATTTTCCCTTTACAACCTCTCTGTCGTGGAAAAATGCAATGCAATATTTTTGACATTTTGAAAAAGTCAGGTACCCCAGCTTTAAAGCGCACACTGCTAGAGAGGTGACTTGAAGAACCTTTCAAAGTGAATGGTCTTTTTTTCACCCCCATGAATCGTAGACCGGCCCAGAGCTCTTTCTAACCCGCATGCAGTAAATCCAAAAGGAGAGGATATGAAGTATTCTCTCACTACTTTTAAATAACCTACTTGCAGTATTTCGCCGCCTCAGCAGGACTGGGGGTGAGAGCAGGTCCAGTCCACTCCCTCTGGTCCTGCTTCAGTCTAATGAGAACAGAACAGAGCAGTAATGTTATCTGGAGCTGCTGGGGGAAAAGCGTTATTCCCCCTGT